TAGAAGGACAATAGGTCCTGAGTTTCCCATGGGCATTAGTGTGGAGGTCCCTGAGAGCATGGGAAAGTGGAAATAACTATTGAGACCAATATCTCACACAGCATTTCACAGCCAGTCCTCCATACCATTTGTACTTAAGATTCTTCAGTATCAGTTCCCAGCAGTCATGACCACATCCTTACTGTAGTATGATGATTTACAAATACTGATGTTGCGAAAGATAAACAGAGAAGAACCAGGTTACAGTGAAGAGTCTATCTCTGTTGCAACCCCAACATGATGTTCTGGCCTGGCTTGAATCCTGGAAACCACAACGGACATGTACTATCAAGCTAATTTCCAGGAAATGTGACGTGCCTCCTGGAAATATTCAAGAATCCAAGACAACTTCCTTGGAACGTCTGAATGAGTTTTTGCTTTCACCACAAGTGGAGTCAGTCTGAAATCAGCACTCTGAAATTACCATAAAAATTAATAGAGAAGGGTGGATGAGTAATGAAATATTACTATGTTTCTCTTTTTCCTTAATTTGTAAGAATTTACCTTACAGTCTTAGAATTATCCTTAATAATACCTGTAATCAATAAAATTGCTATTAGGAAGTTTCACTACTAGGCAATGCTAAAACAAACAAAAAATTAACCAGAGTTTCTTCTGCATGTAAAAAAACCCAACAGAAAAACAAATGCTGTCAATGGAGAAACCTTCTCCAAAGTTTTAACCTCCTCTGAGAAAAGAAAATGGTGCATAAGATGAGAAATGTTTGACAAGAACTAATGACAGTGTTTGACTAGCTTTGCTCAGGCCTCCATATGAACAAATGTGGAATCACCTTTTCCAGATATTCACACTTCCTTAGTAATTTAAATTACCTACAGTGATCTGTAACATCTCACTCCTCAGCATCTGACACAAAAATTTGAAGTAGCTGTTCTGGATAGATGTAAACCTCTAAGAGCAGTGGAAATTATATAGTTTGAAAAGTGGAGAAACATTTGTGATATCAAACAGGGAAAAATATGGTGATGCTTTGACCTAGGCTGACCACCAGCTGCCCACCAAACTTCTCTCTCACTCCTCTTCTTGTTTATTCTCTACTTCCCATCAGCAGACAATATTCAGCTACTCCCTGGGACAAAGGGCCTCAGTACACAAAGCAGTTGTTTTGGAAGACAAATGCATGAATAACGAATGCCTCCTCCCACTCCAATCCTTCTTTCTCCCAGGTTTTATTGCTGAGCATGATGCCATATGATATGGAATATCCTTTTGGTCAGTTGGGATCATCTGTCCTGGGCATGTTCCCTCCCAGCCTCTTGCCCACCCCCATTCTACTGGCCTTTGCAGAGTGAGTGGGATGGGGTTGGAGAGACAACCCTGATGCTGTGCCAGCACTGCTCAGCAACAGCCAAAATACTGGTGTGTTATCAAGACCATTCTTGCTACTTACACAAAGCACAGCACTGTATGGGCTGCTCTGGGGAAAGTTAACTCCAGCCTAGCCAGAACCAAATGTTTCTTAAGCTACAAATCACAACACATGAAAGCACAGCCATGAACTACCTTGTTGGACCAGGCAGCAGTGCCAACCCTCTCCTATGCTCACACAGCCTGGAAAGGGAGGTGTAACTTCCTTCACATAGCCTATACTCTGTGTCACCAGAGAAAATAATCACACACTGTGAGATAAGAAAATAAAAAAAGTAGGCAAAAGAAAAGTGACCATATTTAAGGTTTGGTTGCTGCTTAAAAAAGTGCCTTTTGGAAAAATACTTCCACATCAAAGAAACTCATCAGAGGGAAACAGAAAATGAAATGCATAAAAAAATAGGAAGATACTAAAAAGGTTAAAAAAACTTCTATATAGCAATAGTCAAAGGCTTTAAAAAAAGCAGTGAAAAATTATTTATGTGTTCA